GAATGGGGCTATAGGGATGCTGGAGAGGGACTCTTTGTTAGGGACTATAGTGACAGGACAAGGGGTAATGGGTTAAAACTTAAATGGAGGAAGTTTAGATTGAATATAAGGAAGAAATTCTTTACTGTGAGGGTGGTGAGGCACTGGAATGGGTTTCCCAGGGAAGTTGTGAATGCTCCATCCCTGGCAGTGCTCAAGGCCAGGTCGGACAGAGCCTTGGGTGACACGTTTTAGTGTGAGGTGTCCCTGCCCATGGCAAGGGGGTTGGAACTAGATGATCTTAAGGTCCTTTCCAACCCTAAGTATTATTCTATGATTCTACCTTATATTGTTTAATACCTATTATTTGGAAAATTACTACATTGCCCTCCAATTAATCTTCTCATTCCCACTCCACAACTGTTACACTAAATGCAGTTTCTTATCTCAAAGTGTTTAGAAGACAATCATGATGTATTTCTAATGATTTTGTATGCTAAGAGTTGTCTTTTGGGCCTCGCAGCTGAAAGCGTGTGCACACCTCCTCCCCAACACTACCAGATAAGCACTAGAATAAGGAGGTTATTTATCCTCCACTAAGATAAATGTCACAAACTGGAGGAAGTCTGCTGCTTTTTTTGGAAAAGAGCAAAATCTGCTAGCTGACAGAACTTGCTTTCTGCCTATGCAAGGCACATCCCACTGAAATTACTGTGAAAGGCTCTATTTAACTGCATGGGGCTTTGGATGCAGTTTCTATCTATTTCCCAGCACCTCTGCATCTCTCAAATGGTGTGACTGTCTTTCCACTCTGAGGAAGAAGTATCTGTTTTAAGCAGAACCCACAGCTTTGTGAATATCAGTACAAGCTGAGAGAACAGTTGCATTGAAACAATCCCATAAGAATGCACTAACCTGCAACTCTCAAAACAACATCTGGTCACATCTTACGGCAAAATCAATAGGAAGTATAAATTATAAAGCATCTGAAAAGACGGTATCACTGTTAAATTTTAAAATATAAATTAATGTTGGGTAAAGAACAACTGCACTTTATTAAAAGATTTTCCTCTGGAAGGGCTAGAGCATTAGTATCTTTATAACAAAGACTATAAAAATAACTTCATTTTTACATGCATGCCCTTCATCACTAAATCCAAAACTTTTTTTTTGCACTCTTAATGCAACAATCTGGTTTTGATTTCGACTCCCCCAGGAGCAAGGTACGGCACTTTACTGTTAGTATTTATATTGTGCTTCTGGGCTGCACTTTCACTGCAGCTAATTTAAGCTCCAATCTAACAAATGTGCTTAAACACATGCTCATGAAGACAATAGATGTACTGAAGAAAACAGATGTATTATGCTCAGACTATTAAAATACTAACTAGGTACTTCACTGCTTTGCTGAGGAAGACATAAAATAAGCTATGTGCAGAGAATTACTGTTTCATTTTATGGAATTTCTAAGAAATGGTGTCTGTACTTCCATGCAGATCATTTTGATCACAGTCACATTTCATGCAACTGTAGAGCTAGGTTATGCGCTATTAATACCCCGCAGAAGATCCAAAGTTTGCTGCTTAAGGCAGAGGCTAGAATTGTTTTCCCAAAGGTGGAAAGTTCCATTTTAATAGGAAAAAAAAAAGAAAAAAAAAAAGAAAAAAAAAAAAAGTTATGTGCCTGAAGATGTTTAGTCAAATTAATTCCTGCAAAAAGCTTTAATCAAAACTGTTCCCAAGAAAATAATTGTTTCAAAAGTAATTCCCAAAGAATCTAATCACGTGAAGTATCAACGTCCCAAAAACAGATTAAATAACAGAAAGTATTACAGTTACATTAATTCACTTGCTTTTGTGGGTATTTAGTCATGTTTCCTTGTACCATAATTTCTGAGCATTTGAGACTTATCCTCACAAATATTTACAAATACTTGTTTGGTCTCGTATTCTAAATCCACCATGTACCATTTATGCCAAAGGCATTTGTTCATCTGTACAAATCAAAGAACAAAAATATTCTGGTGCTGTATGTTTTTGTACTTCTAGCTGCTGCTTTGTCTGTGTGGCAATATCTATCTATCTGCATTGCTGTATCAGTTGAACTCCCAAATGTATATTCCTAATGCAAACAGCATCCTTTCATGGAATACCTAAGATGAAAATATCACCAGTTGTTCCATTAAGAGCTTCCACACAGAAAGTTACACTGCATAAATAATTGTGGCACAATTTCAGATACCAATGTAAAGAATATGAGAATGATTCGTGTCAAGAACTTAGAAATCGTTGTTACCAATGCATCTGTGACCGGTGTACCATGTGTGGAATGTATAAAAACGACCTTGATTATAATAAATGTTGCTGTCAATGTAATGATGGGAAAGAAGAAGAAACATGGGAATAAGCTAGTCCCCTCTTTAATCATTTAGACTGTTAAAACAATAAGGAACGCTTTTAGCTTTGTTTAGCTGCTTGAATGCTTTAAGGGGGGTAGGTAACCAAGGAGACACATCCTGTTAAATATACGGGTCTAAGATTGTGGTTAAGCTTGTGATAAACATCTTTCTGTTAATGCATTACCGAGAAGTTTCACTATGTTTCTTTACCTGGAGAGAAGACCCCAGCAACGGGACAGAAACAAATGAAAAGAAGCCACATCGAGTTTCGGGCAAAGACGACAACAGGATTGGCTGAAACTCAGAACCAGGAACTGAAACCCTGGACCGAGAAGTATAAGAGACTGTACTCCAAAAACCCCGGTGTGCATCGTTGGCAGAGCGGAGACTCCCCGCACACCCAGCGCTGCTTGCTTATTGCCTCTTGATATTAATCAATTGTAATAAAATGATTAAATCAGATCATGGCCAAGGCTAAATTTTTATAACATCAACAAACCCTGAAACACTAAAATCCATGTCAGAAAAAGTAATGAAATGAGGTGCAGCTCATTCAAACAACCACAAATAAGTAAATTACTTGAGTTTGAAATATATCTGTTCATGTATTGGGGGAAAGTATTTTAAAAAATACTGCTGTTAAAATATGTCATTGATAGTAGGTGAATTCAAGGAAAGGGTGAACATTTAGGAATATTCTGTGATGAAGCAAAGCTCAAAAGACATTCATCATAAACTACTGGTTGAACTTTGCTGAACACAAGAATTATGCTGAGAAGTAAAGTAGTGACACTAGGGCAGAGTCAAACAAAGCAGTCAGAAGTGACTAAACCCAATACATTTAAATGAATAGAAGAGCAAACAAACAATGTCATCTGGCACTCCAAAAGGCAAGGGCTTCTGAGGAACTGAATATAGAAGCTGTAGGCTTTTGTAAAACTGCTGAAATTTCAGCTGGTAACAGAAATCTGTAGGGAAGCCCATGTGGTTAGCTTATAAATTCCACTTCCCTTCTTTTATAAATTTTCAGCTGATGTATCTGGTTAGCTTGGTCAGCTCACAGTTACCAGCTTTCACAAAAATGGCAATGACGTTCAAAATGCAAAGAGGAAGGCCACATCTTCATGAGATACTTCACTGGTTGCAACAGGAATGATGGTTTTACAATACACAACCACAGCAAGATTGTCTTGAACATTATGGCAATGTATTCATATATGCCTCTAATCTCTACATAATCTGTATACTTAGACCAATTCCATAAAAGGAAAAAGGGGTGCCTTTTTACTTTCCTATGTAAAAAAAAATTCCTTTCGCAACTGACATTTCTGTTGAACAGCTGCAATAGGCTTCTTTTAAGCTATTTTCCATGAAAATTTAAAGACTGACAGATCTCTCAAGAAACGGATAGTTGAAGGCTAATGATTAATAATTAAATATATATTCCTCAAAAGGTGTGTTAGTATTCTACAGTTCTTTCCCAAACTCTTCCTTTCACGGTTTCACAGTGTTTTTTCTCATCTCAGTCATGCTTTCTGCCTATTCTACTACAGTCTTCGTGTTAAAAGCTCCCTTTTGCTTCTTTCTCTGTTCAGTGACAGTCTTAGCCATTCTCTCTCCCTTACATTTGGCTTTGTTCTCCATCCTTTAATTTATTATTCTCCACTGTACCCTAAAAATTTATATTGCTTGCAAGCTGTAGGTTGGTGCTGTAAACAGTGTTCAGTCCTTCCTTGCTATCTTCCTTTCTTTGTTCACTTTCCCTGCTTTTTCTTCTCTGGTCCTCTGGAGGCCTTTACTTCTTTTAACAAGCCACTATAAAGTTACTCCCTATTTATCTACTGTTTTAGCTCACTGAGTTTATACAACTCAATGCCATTTCAAATATGTTAAGCCGTTTAGTGCCATTCTTCTTTAGTACGTTGTCTTCTTTTTCTTAAATACTCCTAAGATAATGGATTGCCAATTAATTAGAAATAGTTAATCTTTGCAATAGAATAAACACTACATGTTTATGTCTCCTGGGAAGCTCCTAAACTAATTTTTATGACTGTGTTGCTAACCATTCTCACTACTTGGCAGTCTTGTCAATGGAAATAAAAGGTCACTGAGCAGATATCCATGCCATAATTTCCAGAATATTTTCTTTGAGGAGGATGCTTCTGCACCTGCTGCCCTTCTTTTCCTTCACTGCTGTTCTGAGGCTGCACAGCCTTTATGGACACTAGTTCTGTGGGTCATGCAGATGGTTGAGCTTCACTAGCATAAAGACAGGTAAAGAACTAGCACAAACACATTCTGAGCTTCTTTTTGGTTCTGTCCTAGTTTGTTGTGTGAACCCTGGTGTGCCAGCTTAATGAAGCAAGAAGCAAAAAGGATGGAAAATGTGGCAAAGAAGATTTTTTAACTACTAGTGGATACTACTATAATTCCTACTGACTCCAAATTGAAGGAAGAAAAGACAATAGGAAGAGAAGCAGACAGAAGAGAAAAGAACCCATCACTGATATGGATATTTAGTGTGTGTTATACACAAAATAAACCTGGTTAAAATGAGCTTTAAAAAGGGTAGTTCTCAAGAAACAGTTACCATGATGCATATGCAATCATAAAGTATTTATACCTGTTGAAGTTGGTTCCTCTTCAATGGAGGCTGTGCAAAAAGGTGGTGGGGATAGGGTGAAGGTAGGGACAGGAAAAGGGAAGGGAAGATAAAGGAGAGAGAGAAAAATACAGATGAAGAAATGTATACAGTCATTGTTATTTACATTCTCTTAATACACAAGCAATAAGACATCATGAAAAACTTCATTATCATTTGATGAACTTGAGTAAGAGATGCTTCACCTTAGCGGAGAACGAAGACAAAATGAGTTAGGATTTTCACTTACATTTCATTACACTTGCATTTGTAATGTTACACTCTTAACCTCCCCCTCTAATTTAACTAGTAGGATAGGGCCAATAAGACAATAACAATGGTCAACAGAGGAGTTTCAGACAACTTCCCTGCAGTCAAGTTCATAGCCAGAATTGTTGCAGTACTAAACAGGAGCTGCTCTAAAGGTAAAGCCTCCTAAAAAATCAAATGCTGGACCCAGCTATTTGGTTAACTAATGAAAGCTGCTGATTAGCAATTAACGAGAGTCACAGTGCATATTTTTTCTTTTTTCCCCTCTCTCCATCCTCCACCCCTTCTGTTCCCTTCAGTTTCTTCACAACTTGGTGCTGGCAGTAATGAATGAATGATCCTGAAATTAAGTAGTAAAGGAGAAAATGCAGTTTGGGGGTTTGGTTTTGGGTAGGATTAGGGTGGGGGCAGTTGCCCACTGGACTTTCTATTCCAGATATTTATTGTCTGAGGAAAGCAATAAAAATCTTTATCTTTATCCTATAACCTTTCTCTTTTGGTGACAGATAACCATTAAATCACCTTTAGCTAACATCAGAAAGCACCTCTCACTGTACACTATTATTTGTACATTCAAAAGAAAGAAACAGATGTATGCACAGTAAAACTGTATTTTAAAGGTACATTAGTGATTTAGTTCTTTTTCTCCTTCCAGTCAGTATGTTTTATATACACATGCATCATAAAAATGGTCTTCTCACAGTCTTGCGAAGTTTTCAATGACAGAAAACGTAGCTATGAAGTGTTTCTCACCTGGATACTGTGAAAGCACTTAGAAGTCTTAGAGGACTCTCCACAAATGTGATGTAGAGACCCTCTTAAAATATTAAACACATGTATCCATACTTTTACTTTTTCTCTTTTCAGGAGTCTTTTCCACCAGCTGAAATTGAAGCTGCTGTTTGATTTCTTGTAGAATCAGTTCCATACAAACAACAGTCCTAACATGGTAACTTCACGTTTGCCATGGCTATTAAGCAGCGATGGCTTCAGAGTCTGTGCTTGGCATGGATACAGATTTCAAATATTTTCTCAAAGATCAGTGCTTGGTGAGTTGACTTCTTTGCCTTAACTATCACTCCATGTATTACGCTGGGAGAAATTAGGGACGCAAAAGGATGGTCTTTCCTCTTTTTAGTGAAAGTTTGTCAGACACAAACTGCATTTAAGACCATGTACAGACATTGATTAATTCAGTACAATATTCTATATGCAACTGTATGTGACAGTTAACATAGACACATCAGTTATTCCTAATTGCAGAGTAGAATGGTGTTGTTTTGGGGGCTGTCAGATCCAATCAATAGAAAATAATGAATTACTATTTGAAGTATCAGTCAAGCATCTTGTCTCTAACTAAAGTTTCCTGAGGCAAATGGGTAATTTTTATTTATATAACTTTGTGTTCAGATAAACACTTAAGAAGGCTACATTATTAAATGAATTATCTAAAATGGCCTAAACAAGGTACTTAACAGGCTAAATCTTCTCTTTTGTAACTCTTCATTTAGTGTCTAGATGTGTATTATGAACCTAGATTGATCAATTTTGAGGTGAATATACACAGAGATCACATCAAGCTTTTAGTTTACAATAACATGTTCTTTTACTGTACAATTACCAGATTTAAGTAAAATGTGTTTGAAACAGTACAGAATTTCAAGGCAATGAAGGAAAGAAGGGAAAATCCCATCCTATTGTTTTTAAATTTGACTAATCAGATCCATCATTAGTTCAATAACATGACAGCTAATTCCACAAAAAAGAAACTATTTAAATCTTAAGAACAGTATCAGAAGTAAATCAGAGGCATGCTGTAGTTTCTCAAAGTACCAGTAACAGAGAACTACGCCAACAGAACAGAACATGAAAGTTAGTTAGAAGTCATTAAATTTTACAAATGCCCCAAATCTCTATTAACTGCCAAGCTCAAATGCTGCTTGCTGCTTGAGCAACAGATAATTAAAGTACTACTGACTGTACATTGAGATTGGTTTATCAAAATTGTCCAAATATACAAAGAATATTCATTCAAGGAATGGGGTTGTTTTTTTTTCTGACTGCAATTTGAATAATAATCTTAATTATTGGAGTGAATACTAGCATCAGCAATTTACAACTGGGTCGTGTCATCACTCTGGTGATGATTGTCCAGTGGGACCACTCTGCACTTAGGGACACATCTAAATAAAAGAGGACAGCTGAAGCTCCACTGAAACAAATCATTCAAGTTGCAAGACAGCTATGTCAATAAGGTTAGTTTTATGTTTATCTAATTAATTTTGACTATTCAATTGTTGATTTAGGCTCTTTCAGGAATAGACTGCGTTAATTTTTTGTCTGAGTTAGTGAGTAATGCTTTTGTGAAATGCAAAAGACCTAGTTCTACTTGTCAATAATCTATTTCTTAACCCTGGGCAGAAATTGAAGATTCATATTAAAAATATATTTGAAAATGAAATTATAAATTTGTTTGTACTTTATGCATTTTTTTTTTAATGAAGTTAACTTAATCTCTTGCTATATGTGCCAGGTCTGCTTTCATCCACCGTAGCTTGATAAACCATGTTTAAAAATAAAGCCTTCCCTAAGCAACTGAATACACAAAGTATAAACTACTTTTGCTTTATCATAGTGGCTCAAATGCAGTGTCAGCACTCTGCTTTCCACTTATTAAGCAAATGCACACTAAAAATTTCTTACACGATTTTTCTCCATCAGCAGTGATTTAAACTTGAAGTTATTTAAAAAGCTATTTATACAGTGACTCATCTCCATATCAATTATCTGTAATTCACTATTTATTTCAGAGGGGTCAAGAGGGTACAAACTGAAACTGCCTTTCTCAACTGAGCTAGCACAAGCTGGTGACTCACTACACTGAGTGGTGGTTTAGCATCATCCTGACTTTCTCATTCTGATTCCAGAGTGGTGAGACTTGCACAGAGGAGCCAGGTATTTGACAAAAAAGCCTCCCAAACAGTCATGAACATCCCTGAATCATGATGTGATTAACAGTACTGCATGACCTTAAACTGTAATCTACTCTGCAGCTTTAAACCATTTTCAAAATGTTTTTCTACCCCTTTTAATGCATAATTGACAAAATATAAGACATATGGCAGCCCAAACATTAGTTTTTATCTTCTTAGAGTATATCTGATGTTCACTTGAGAAAACTTAATCATGTTTTCCCTGGGGTGAATAATGCTGTGTGACATTACTGGTGAAAAAAAAAACAAGACATGGGTAGTTTTGGGAACCCTATTCCAGGATACATATTGTCCAACATATATCGGCTTAAGAGAAAGAATGTAAGGCAATGCTTGGATAGCATATGAATACCTATGCCAGACCTCTGATCATTTCTGTTACAATGGTAGAAGCCTTAAAAGGTCTGGGAAAAATCTGACCTTTGAAGCATAGGTAACTTGAGGGAGGCAGATTCAGTGGAACATTAGGTTTGTGTTTATATTAAAGCATGTGTTACTTTCATATTAATGTGAAAGACATTTTCCTTAATATTCAAATAAAATGTAAGACTCTTTTATATGGAATAAACTTGAATATATGGCGTTATCTCTAATGAAAAAGAATGTAAGAGCTCTACAAAATCATCCGAATGAACCACTTGCAAACAGTAGGATACAAGAGCAGATAACATTTTTCTGAATGTAAGGTCAAAAATAAATTATATTCTGCTCAGCATGAAATCTCAGAGGACCTGCATGCTACAAAGACTGACTTCCCAAAAAATCAGCATCAGTCATTAAGAATGTGATTTTAATGCTATAGAACTTTAATTGAAAATACATCTTTAGAACGTCTGTCTTCTCACCTGCTACCCATTCTACAGAATTCAGTTCATTTCTCAATAAACTGGCTCTATCTCTGGTTCTCAGCATGGCCCTTTACGCAGTATTGCCATGTCTGATGAGGTAACCCACCACTAAGCGGCGGGCTGAATCAAGCCTTTTTTCCACCAAAGCCCCCCTTGCATTCAGCTTTGCCCTATCCCATTGTGTCAGGTTAAATGTGCTAAAAGACACCTCCAAGCCACAGCTCAGATGATTAACAGTTTGTCACCAACTTCTAACAATTAACCAACTCAACCGGCTGCAACAACTGGTATAAACTATTATTGTCCCTAGCTATAAAGAGGAGGAACAAACCCTAAAAAAAACAGGTTGTTTTCATGAATCTGCTGAATCTGGAAAACGCACTTTTTATGCCAGTTGGTCAAAGATACATCTATCAGGGTGAGTTAGAGATTTTTATCTTGCAGTTCTACAGTTAGGTCAGGTTGTTCTGATAGTGTGTTTAATTTTAACTGTAGTACTGGGATACCAGCACATCCCTCACCATTTACAGGCCCCTGAGAATAGCAGAGCCTCCTTCTAGCCTCAGGTAAAGTTGTGTTTGCAGCCAGTACAGGAAAAATAAATTAAAAAAACATGAAAAACAAAAAAAGAAGAAAGACACCAGGCAACTCACTAGTGCATGTCAGAGATAACTCACTATGAACTGATAAAAAACCCTGCTTGGATGACAGATATTAAATAGAAACCAAAGCCATTAATTAAGAAACCCTAGAAATAGCCTGCGCCACTCCTTATAGGTTTATATCCACTTAAACACGTAAAGACTATGAAAAACTTACTTTTTCTTCCTTTCATTATTTTATTTTAAGAAAAAAAAAAATCTAATCAAAAATTGGTATCAGAGCAAAATTTCAGGTATTA